TGGTTTGTCAAGAGGGAACTGGCCAGCTTTGTTACAGATTCCCAATCAAAAGAATTTGCTGCTGCTGGGGATAAATCATGGATTGTCTGGTATCATGCTGACCAGACAGGCGAGGTAACCAATAAGCGAATCCTGAAATACTTCACCTTCTATCAAAGATAACTCTTCTAATTAATCTTCACTCTGGACTGACCTGCTCCAGAAAGAATTGGATTATATATATATTTTTTTTTTCCTTTCTTCACCAGCATGAACTCTTAAGTTCCTTGGATTAAGGAACCATTCTGGACTTCATCAACTGTTGATAACCTGTATATATTGTAAATATTAATACAATTAACCAATTTTGCACCATCTGGTTGTCTCTTGTGTTTTACAATTTGCCACTTCCTCAAGCAGACAAACCTAATTTAAAAATTATTTGAATTTACTCTAACTTGGATTATTTATATAATAATCCTAATATTTCTAAAATGTAATATAGGTTACAACAGGTGGTTCACATTCAGCAGCAGGATGAAATTGGTTTGGCTACTGTCTCCTAGAGCAACGCCGTCCTCTTCACACCATGAAGGTTTCTGAGAGTCTGTTCCTCTCCTACCTGAAGCCTGGAAAGAAGCCACACAGATTTACTGCAGCCTCCATACGTTGGAGAAGGGGGCGCTTTTCTCTCATGCCTTTGAAACCATCCACCCACAGCTGCCCAGAAAGAAAATGAGGATGATGCGGGTGGTGCCACCTCTGAAAAGCTGAACCATGGACTATTTACCCAAACATAGGTGTCAGGACATTTGCCTGGATACAGCTCTCCAAAAACAACCCGAGCAACACATAAAAAAAACTACAGGATCAGACAAAATGAACCAATGAAATAAATTAAATTACATTTAATTCTATCGTGCCAATTCAGAACATGTAATCTCAGAGAAATTTACAGACAATTCAAGCAGATCATGCAGTCAGATTAGTTCAAACAAACTGTCTGGATGGAGTAAAGAGTAACGGTAGAGAAGCTGCAGAGAGGTGTGTTAAACTACGACTCTGCTTCCTGGTCTTCACCCTGGGCTGTCGGGGTTTTGGAGGACTAATAAATTCCTCCAGATTCCTAGAAAGAAGCGCTGCATTCAAAGTAGGATGGAAGCCGTCTCTCCGAATCAGATTAGGTGGGGGTGTTGGACTAGTGCGGGGGTCGGCAACCTGCGGCTCCCTGGAGCTTTTTCAAAACATTTTTTTTGTTTGTTTTAATATGCTGTGCCTCATGCTGTGTCTCGGACCACGTATCCCAAAGGGAAAAAAAGAAGAGAGCTGATGAGAAAAGAGAAAGAATGGAGCGAATCATTTGCTTTCATTATCAATGCGGAAGGATTGCCTGCATTTTTGCTTTTTAATGAGAGGTTGTGAGAAAATAAAAAGAAAAATTTGAAAAGACATTTCCAGGGAAGGCTAAATATGCACCAAGTTGGGAGTGAGAGAAATGATTGCAGAACTTCTGAATAAATTAGAGAGAAAAGATAGATTT